GCTCACCCTGTGCTTTATGTGACCGTCCTGTTTGGGGCCAGGAGGTCAAGGGGGAATTTTTCCTGTTAAGAACAGCGGACAGGTTTTCGCCCCCTTACAGTTTGCGCATGCATTTTGATGTGACTGAGCTGGTTAAGGACGTCACATTCCATATTGTGTTTTGAAGCTGATACTTACTTTGTGTACTCATCCAAGTGTTGGTTTGCAGTTACTTCGTTGTTACATATATGCCTATATAGTTTGGTTGAAGTTTGTAGTGTATTTGTCGTTTTGCCATTCGACACCCATTTACTGGTTTATGTTAACGTTCACTTATGTGTTAAGTTATATGTTATGTAGCCAGCTTATTAATGGGGGTGGACACCCCCATGGGGGGGATCTGTAGGAGCTAAAAGCAGTGTTTTGTGTACGTGCATGTTGACATGTTGCTCATCAATGCCAGCCGGTTATCAGGCAGCCCAGCTGCTGAGTACATGCTCCAAAAACATGTTGATCTGCCCAGCTTATGTAAGTTTCAACTACTTTTGACCATATTAGGATGTGGAAGTAGCACCCCATCATTTCTCAGAATCAAAAGGGAGGTGGGGGTTGAATAGTATAACTGATGCTGCGTGGTGTAGGAGAGTGGGCTTTTGCAGAAGGATCTCCAGCCGAGGTGTTTAGATCGAAGCTGGACGCTGTCCCCTGTGAAGTGTTGGTGATGTATGGATGAGTTGTGTAAATAAATGCCCCCCGCTGAGTTTGGACAAAACCTGTCTCTTTCTTGTTTTTGATAAGGAAAAAGAACCACAGTGTCAGGGGGAAGACCGGCTACAAAGGAGCTTTGATTTTTAGTATCTCTGCGTCTCAACGCTCGATGAAGATTACACAGGTAAAAGATCCCTGACACCTAGCGGTCAAACTTCCCATTAGGGGAAGGCTATTAATTCAGTTGTTTGCACCTCCACCACCATGAAGCTCTCCGACATCCCCCTACTGTTTACTACAGTCCACTGGGCTCTGAAGAATGCACACAGCACACAAACAAAGCCTACTCCTATAGAAATCCACGAAGCACACCAAAACACCTGGTTCCACATGGTAAATCTAACTGCTAAAAGACTAGGATTTAATAACAGCTGCTATGTTTCTTCCTGGATCCCCCATCATTCAATGGAAAACCCCACGATGACAGCTATCCCCACCTCGATGAATGACACTGTATGTTTGCTACACGCCCTCACCATCCAAGCTATTAAGGGACGGAAGTGCACCATCCCACACTGCTGCTCACCTCAACATCAACAAAGACGCTGGACACGCCCTGCCAACTTCTCTGCCTCAACTAATTCATCTATTTCCCAGGGGTTGCATCTCCTTCACCTCACAGGAAAAGATCCCTTCTGTTTCTCCACGCCATGCTTAAACTTCACGATTCGTCTAGGCAAATCCATCTGTGATGACATTCTCCCAGCTGATGGATTAAATCCCCTGCCAAAGAAACATTGGTTGACAACTCGGTCTGATGTCCGTGGATATGTCACCATAAATGTGACCCTGTTGAGCCTTGTAATGACTGGACGACCTTTCTACCCCCCATGGAACACAAACAAACATGTTCTCGCGGTCCCCTCAGTCATGGGAATGGGGACCCCTGAAGGATACATCTGGAAATGCGGAAGCTCTCTCTACCTGTACCTGCCACGCAACTGCAGAGGTCACCACTGGCCACTAGGGTGTGCTGCAATCAAGCCTCGAGGGAAAAAGGTGTATTCACGGACGTGCCTGAAGTCACATACATGTGACGACCCCTCACTGTACATACTGCTGCCTCTCATTTGGATTGCTGCTGCTCAACCATCACACTGCTGTCTATCCATGCTACTGCTGTCTATCCATGCTACTGTTCGACTTGTATCTGTAAGTCTTCACCTGCTTGTTAAGCTAATGTAATGGTTACATTGTCAGTATGCACGCTAAGCCGCGCTGCAGTTATTTACCTATTTTATCACATTGCTTAGCTTTGGTCTTCAGCCCATGCTGCTGCTTCACGCTGCCGTTAGCTTCCGCTCACTGATCTTTGTATGTCGTCGCAGGGCTCCTTCATCCTTGTCAATAAAACCATTTGACATCGAGGAGTGTATTTCTTCAAACACCCACACTTTTCCAGCCATTTTGCTCACCTCCACACCAGTCTGATTTCTCGCACTCACTCTGTTTGCCTCATCTCCTTCTTCCCCTTCCTCTCCTGTTTCTCCTTGAAACCCGACATCGGCTGTCGGGTTTTAAGGAGAAACAGGAGAGGGAGGGAGGGAAGAGCTCGACTGAATTCATAATTTTACATCTTGACATTAGCTGCACAAACTCTGAGTTCGATAAAGTGAAGAACAACAATTTGCTGAGGTTTATAACAGGCGCGGTGCCAGGTTTTCATTTTTGGGTGGGCCACAGTAATTTTGCACGGACCTTAATAAGCTGTGACTTGAGTGAAGCAGGCAGGTCGTGCTAGAAAATTTCGTTTGAAACAACGTCATAAAATGTTTTCCCCATCATTTTATTTCTAAAATATGAAGTAAAATCTCCCAATTTAATTCATTTTTCATTTATAAGCACCAGAATGCATTACCTGCACTTCTAATATTTACCTCTCAACGTAGGACTCTTTCATAAGGGTACATGCACACCGGTAGTTTTTACGGTTATTCATGGGGCAAAATCTCCGACATTTAAAAAAAAGAAAAAAAAAGAATCCATCTTCCAGTAAAAGCAAAGCATCCAGCCCACCTCTCCAACTGCGTAAAATGTGCATCACAGCTGCTAGGCGCGCCGCGCGCACCATCAGCTACGTCAGCCCAGACAAGAGCAGAGCGAATAGAGGTTAATTGTGTCTGGATGTGGATGGACATCACAATTTACAGCAGCCTGATCATAATTTAAATACGTAAACCATCACCTGGCTTCTAATCCACGCCATCAGCATTATTTTAATTGGTGTGTGTGTGTGTGTGTTTTCCACATCAAACACTAGTGGTGTGCATCTCTACCTGCCTCACGATTCGATCCGATTCCGATTATCTGCCTAAAGATTGGATTTGAGTCTGAAATGCATCACGATTCTTCACACAAAAAATTTCATTACTTAATAAAAGCAGTAGAATAGTTTTCAATTTCTTTTTGATTTCGAAATCCCTGAAAAACAGAACATTCATCTATTCACTACAGTGAGCAATAATTTTTAAAGTGTGCTGCCTATAATTACTTAAATAATATAAGAAATAATGTTTTCAGTAGAGCAGCTTTAAGATAGAATATTACTGAACTTAAAAATAGTAAACAAATACTGTGTTAAGTGATTCTTTCACATCCAGGATCCCAAAACCGAAATTAGCCCAGACATCTGATTTAAATGTAACGGGTACATCTTTGATTACTGGTAATGTTGGCCCTGTATCCCTGTCCGCCTTTTCTGTTTTACATTGGCGCTAGGGCAACGCAGTGCGCATGTCATTGCAACTCTGCCCCCAGAAGTAGTTTTAAAACCTCAAAACTTTATTGTCCTGCATAGACATAGACCAGGGGTCGGCAACCTGTTCCCATCAAAGAGTCATTATTACCCGTTTCCCACAGTAAAGAAAACACTGGGAGCCGCAGCAGCCGTGGCGTTGTGGGCGGGGCCTACCCTCAGACAGCAGAGCGCTGCTCACAACAGGTGACAGCAGCCAGTACCGGTCGCTCGTGTACGTCAAAGCTATCTTTCATAAGACGATAATCAATAAAACGATTTATATAAAGTGGATCCATAAGTTGTAGCCCGTCTCTGTCTACAATATTTTGATATTTTTCACCCTGTTGGTGGTTTTACTGAGCAGGTGCCACTTTTGTCATACGTTTCTTTTTAAAACATGTTTAGACTGTTCAGAATACAAATCCAGGCTGTTGTACTTAAACTTTATAGGTGGGGAAGGTCAGAAAAGGATCCGATCAATTTGTTTTTCCCTCATTTACAGTGACGGAGATAACGGTGCAGTGCGCCTGGCTCTGGTGGTAATCAAGTTAAATTATATCTCTTTGCAACAATTTTCACAAGAAAACAGAACAGTTAAAAGCAGGGCTTGTGTTGACCGGATAGTTCCTGTGTTTGACCGTTTATTTTGACGGAGAAAGAATAGAAAGAATTACCCCGACGCATGCAGACGAACTGACACTTTATTCGTTTCGCACCTCGCAGATGTAGCTAAATCACTCAAGAAAAGATTTCCTTCTGAACATCTGAGCTGGACACTGCTCAGCGCATCTCACTGTCAGCGTGTACGTACGGTGCACAGCGAGCTGAAGATGTGGAGAGGGGCTTGGAGCGCGTCGCAGAACCAGAGCGCATGCAGGAAGATTCCTCTGACTGAAGCGAGACTTGTCACTTAGAAAATGTTCCCTGATTATGAAACTTTGGCTGAATAGTGCTTGTTCCTGTCTCCAATGTGGTGACACATCCAGGAGCCGTCTGAGGAGAAGCCCAGAATCTGACATCCTCGTCAGCTCAGAAAGCTCCTATGAAGCGTGACCCGTCAACCCGGTCTCACAGTAAGACCGGGTTGGAACTGTTCAGGTTTACGCAGACAATCTTTACATTTAGAATTGGCATACAGATGTAAAATTAATGCAGTAAAATATAAAGCATTTTATTTAAATATCCATTCATTATTTTACAAGCACAGAGAGCCGCATCAGATGGATGGAAGAGCCGCATGCGGCTCCAGAGATGCGGGTTGCCGACCCCTGTCCTAGTGGCTTACTTTTGAAAAACTGGGCCCTGGAGATATCTCAAGACTAGACGGGTCATATCGGAGCTGATCTACAGTTCCTGGTACCTTGAGGTCCATGTCCATCCCAAAGTCGTGACTCCCTGGATCTGAAAGGGGATCTCCACAAAAGATTATCGTAGGCTCAACAGATTGCGTCGGGTGATTTTATAAACAACTCTCTAGATCCAAAACAACCAGCCGATTTACTTTTACAACCCAGACTTCAGAAACAAAGAACGGTTTTACTAAAACATCTAGCTTCCATCACAACATCCCACACATCACATTACATTTCATGAGCTACGTTACACTGAAATAATTATAAACTAAAAATATAGGAAATAGAAAATACCTAAATTATAATAATGCAAACTAATTAGAATTAGAAAGTTCTACTGCCATGCCCAAGAACAGGAAGTGGTGCCAGCACAATTAAATTGCAAAGGTTCTGCTCCTAATTTTACACGAGTAAAGAAAGAGGAAAAATCCCAACATAAATAAAATCACCATAAACAGTGCTGGCATCTGAAAGTATAATACACTGCTCACAAAAATTAAAGGAACACTTTAAAAAAAACAAATTAGATACATCAGATCTCAATATGAAGTTGGATATCTATACAAATAACGACAGGGCAATGTCTTAGGAACAAAAGGATGTCAAGTATTTTAATGGAAATAAAAGTTATCAGCCTACAGAGGGCTCAGTTGTGTAGACACCCTAAAATCGGAGTGAAATGAAGATGTGGCAGGCTAGTCCATTATTTCAAAAACTTAAATTTCTGCAACTCAAATTGCTTTTCAGTATCTTGTGTGGCCCCCACGAGCTTGTGTGCATGCTTGACAACGTCAGGGCATGCTCCTAATGAGACAACGGATGGTGTCTTGTGGTAGTCTAGTGAACTAGGCCAAATTCTTGCTTTGCAAAGTTTGGTCTAGGCACGCTCCATTGGAACCTCTGCAGCTCCTACCAGGACTCTGGCTAGCCAATCACAGCTCTCTAGAGGGGTTTCAAACACATAAAGAGCTGTGATTGGTCCATAATGGTGGACCAATCATGGTGCTCTATCTGCTTAGTGAACAAATCACAGAGCTTTATCCGCTTTGTGGGCCAATCAGGTCACTCTATATGCCTGGTGGGTGGGATGATGCAACAGAGTGAAACAAGAGTATGTCACATTCATTGTCCAGTGGAATGTGGAGATCATTTGAAAGACAACGGTAGAACCCGCCCCACAACCGAGAGCCGTCAATGGAGCATGGCCAGACTAAATAATACATTTATTTAGTCTGGCTTGCCAGGCTAGACTTGTGGCATTTCCTCCCAGATCTGTGTGAGGGCATCCCTGAGCTCTTGTACAGTCTGAGGAGCAACTTGGCGCCGCCTAATGGACCAAAACTTGATGTCCCACAGATGTTCTATTGGGTTAAGTCAGGGGATCGTGAAGGCCATTCAACTGTTTCAATTCCTTCATCCTGCAGGTACTGCCTGCATACTCTTGCCACATGAGGCCGGGCATTGTTGTGGATTAGGAGAAAACCAGGACCTACTGCATCAGCGGGATGAGCGAGTACACCACTATCTGTATCTGTTCAACCAACTAAATTATCTGTACTCGGAATGGGCGTGACATAACCCAGAAGTGGGTGTGACATAACCTGGAAGTGGGTGTGGTTTACATCAATATATTATTTTAAGTCTGAAAATGATATAGAATGATCAGAAGTTGATATGTGTATTGTTTATTTGAAAACTATTTACAGAGCAGCCTTAGAATTTAGATTAAATATTTTTGACCACAATAGTAAAGAAACTATTACGGAACAAGTTTTTCAATAAAATCAGAACATTAATATTTAGGTGCATGGATTAATACATCTGAACTCATGCAGTAGGAACTAGGAAATATGAAATGCTAGAACCAGACACAACTTTATATTTTTTCATTTTAATTTGATTAAACAGATTTTTTTCTTGACGTTCTTGGCATTTTGCCCCACACAAAGTTAAACAAAACAATGTTGATTAAGGTGTGTGTGTGTGTGTGTGTGTGAGAGAGAGAGAGATAGAGAGGGTGAGAGGGAGAGAAGGGAGTTAAAAAAAATAAAAAACCCAACCGGAGCGGAGGTAGTGAGTGACTGATGCAGCACGTCAGCTCTGTCTTTTCAAATAAACCATGTAAGTTATGAAAAAGTAACTTTAAATATTCAACCAAAAAAGAGGCGAGCTGAAGAAAACCTAGGGAAAACTGAAGAAACGTGAGCAACAATGAAGCAACTACAGCGAGATCCGTTACTGTCTGTGTGTGTGCGTGGATGAGCCTGCCGGACTGCACTCCCGGCCGGCTAGAGTTTTATGTGTAGGGAGGGGTGGGCGCTCTATGTGACTGGCCAATCACAGAGCGTGAAGACAGTCAGTTACCCAATGAGGATTTTCCTTCAGCACGATTACTGATATTTACGAGGTTTACTCGTTTCATGCTCGTATTCGTCAAAAATGCTTTATCCGTACCAGATACTCGTCTGAAACGAATATCCGGCTCATCCCTAGTAGGGTCTGACAAAGGGTTCAAGGATTTCATCTCAATACCTTATGGCAGTCAGAGCACCATTTCCTAGGCAGTAGAGGTCTGTGCGTCCCTCCATGGATATGCCTCCCAAGACCATCACTGACCCACCACCAAACCTGTCATGTTGAACGACATTGCAGGCAGCATAACGTTCTCCTCGTCTTCTCCAGACTCTTTCACGTCTATCACAGGTGCTCAGGGTGAACCTGCTCTCGTCTGAAGGTCATTCTGTAGGGCACGAGCAGTGCTCAGCCTGTTCCACCTTGCACAAAGGAGCAGGTATCGGTCCTGCTGATGGGTTGTGGACCTTCTACGGCCCAGTCCAGCTCTCCGAGAATAACCGCCAGTCTCCTGAAATCTCCATGTTCTGGAGATTGTGCTGGGAGACACATTAAACCTTCTTGCTGCAGCACGTGTGGATGTGCCATGCTGGAGAAGTTGGATAACCAGTGCAACTTCTGTAGGGTTAAGGAATGCTCTCATACTGCCAGTAGTGAGCCAAAACTAGCACGAGTGGAAAACCAGCTGAAAAAGATCAAGAGGGAGAAACTAGAAAAGACCTCTACATGTTAAACCAGTAATTGTTGCCACTTTAGTGCACCTGTCGTTAAGTCCATGAACACCAATACAGCTGAAAGTGATTAACAATGCCCTCAGCTGCTTAATCAACCAGGAAATTATCAGACAAGTTTAATTGATTTCATGCCAGGCCCAATAAAAAGAATCCAGTGGGCAAAGCAGAACGGTGCTAGCTTTCCGAACTAGCTCTTCAGTCCCGTCCTGTCTCGGTCATAGCTGCCTGCACCCCAACAGGCCACAGCAGAATGAACAAAGCCAACAACAGAACGGTAAAGAGTTTAGCGGATGGGAATTAACTCAGAAGGACCTCAGCCTCCTCAGAAGGTGGCTTTGGCCCTTCTTATAGAGTATCAAAAGGGCTTTTGTTCACTCTGCTTCTTCTTCATGGAACAGATGACAGGAAATTAACCGAGCCTAACTCCTTCACACATTTAAAACCAGATTGAGAACACTTGAGACAGATTCCCTGTGTTACAACTGCCTTCTATAAGTCTGTATATAACTATTTGTCTAACAGAAATTTTATGACTAATTTTTGCTGCCCCTTGGCCAGGACGCCCTTGAAAATGAAGTTTTTAATCTCAATGGGATCTTCCTGGTTAAATAAAGAATAAATAAAGTCTGGTGAAATTTTATTTTGATAATCTAGGGTAATCTGCATCAATAGAACAGCCAAGACTCGCATTAAGAACATGAAAACAACAGGAACACTTGTAATTAAATGGATGCATTGTTCCCTGTGTGGACTCTCATGTGCGTCTTTAAATTACCCTTTTGGCTAAATCTTTGTCCACAGAGCTCACAAGCGAAGGGCTTCTCTCCTGTGTGGACTCTCCTGTGGTTGTTTAAATGACCCTTTTCACTAAATCTATTCCCACAGAACTCACAAGCAAAAGGCTTATTTCCTGTGTGGACTCTTATGTGTGTGTTTAAACTATCCTTTAGGCTAAATCTTTGTCCACAGAGCTCACAAGCAAAGGGCTTCTCTCCTGTGTGGACTCTCATGTGTCTGTTTAAACTTCCCGTTTCACTAAACCTATTCCCACAGAGGTCACAAGCAAAAGGCTTCCATCCTGTGTGGACTCTCATGTGTTTGTTTAAAGGATCCTTTAGGCTAAACCTTTGTCCACAGAACTCACAAGCAAAGGGCTTTTCTCCTGTGTGGACTCTAATATGTCTGTTTAAACTTCCCTTTTCACTAAATCTATTTCCACAGAGCTCACAAGCAAAAGGCTTATCTCCAGTGTGGACTCTCATGTGTTTGTTTAAACAACCCTTTTGGCTAAATCTTTGTCCACAGAGCTCACAAGCAAAGGGCTTCTCTCCTGTGTGGACTCTCATATGTCTGTTTAAACTTCCCTTTTTACTAAATCTATTCCCACAGAGCTCACAAGTAAAAGGCTTCTCTCCTGTGTGGACTCTCATGTGTGTGTTTAAATGTGATCTGCTAAATATTTTTCCACAATCATCACAACTAAAATATTTTTGTTTTGTCTGGATTTCCCTGCATGAGTCTACATTTTTCTTCACTCTGACATGTTTCTTATTAACCCAACAGCCAGAAGACTTCATTCCTGAATGACTTGTCACTCTTACATGTTTCTGGAGAGACCGCTCATAGAGAAATTCTTTACCACATTCAGGGCAGTGAAAAGATTTGACTGCCTTAACATCTGATTTAGAAGACCTGCTCTCATTCTGGTCTTTGTTATTGTCTTCAGTTTTAGGCTCAGAGTCTGAGAAGAGTTTCAGTTGACAGTAAGAATTGTTCCCATCCTGGTCATCTTCATCCTCACTGACTTCAGTCTCTGAAGAGTGGGAATCATCTTCATAAGGATTTAGATCTGGACTCCTGGTACTTTCTGCTCCTCCACAGTCCTCTCCACCACTTGCTGCTTTCATCTGGTCAGTGGTGCTTCTGGTTGAAAGGTCTCTGTCTTTAGGTTGGTGCTGATCAAACTGTGGCAACTGAACTTTTTCTTCCTCAAACTGGCAAGAAACTGCAGAGAATGAAGTCCCGGTGGCATCAGTTTCCATCTCATTAAGCTGTTCCCACATTTCTTCTGTCGTGTTGAAGGGCTCCAGATCCTTCTGGTTAACACCAGACCTCAGTTGATCAGGAGCTGCTTTTTAAATCAGCATCAACTGCTGAACATCTACAGGGAACACAAACACATTACAAACAATGTTAACCTTACATATCTAGAATGATGGGTCAATAAAGTAAAACTGGGTGTGTGTGCACCAGAAACAGGTGCAACAAATGATAGTGGTTCACACTGACTTTGCATTTTATTACTAAAAGATCTTAGTTTGACGCTCTGGGGTCCAGGGTGTAATTTGCCGTTTTTGACTAATTTAGAGTTTTCCTTTGTATTTCCAAAATAAAAACCATAACCACTGCCTTATGTGGTATCTATCTTTTCAGCAAAACCTGGACTTTATGAATATATGCTTATTTATTATATTTGGACATAAAGGGGTTGCATATTAAGACCTTAAATCACTCAAAAACATAAAATCCGAATGGGAAAAAAGTTGTTTATTTGACTGTGAAACCAACAAACATTTATGACGAATGTTTTTTTATAATTTAGAATCGTAATCTAGACTGTACATTTATAAAAATTTGACTAAATATAGCAAATGACAAATAAAAAAAAAATTATTAGCCCTCTGGGGTCCAGGGTGTACATCACCGTTTTTGACTCATTTTGGTTTTTCTTTTGTATTTTCTAATAAAAACAATAAATATTGCCTTATAGGGTATCATTTTTTCAGGACAACCTGGACTATCTGAATTTATACTCATTTTATTAATTTGGCAATAATGTACATGCATTTTGGAGTGGGCAGTGGCTCAGTCTTACGCCACGGAGATCGAGATCTGTCAGCTGCGCGGCGCCGCCCACTCCTCTTGTTGGATCTCCGAGGAGCTGGATCTCTGCCTTCATCCTCTACCTCATCATGACCCAACTCTTCTACGAGGAAGGATGGATCTGCCACATCGTCATCAACATCCTCGCTATTTGCCTCAGACTCCGGCTGTGAGTCTCCGTCCACTTCCTCTGCTTCCAGTTCAAAAAACAGCCGTACTATCTGAACTGCCTGGTGGACATTTATCCTTCTCATCATCCTTTATTAAAGCCTAATAAAAGCCTACTAAACTGCAGCGACAATAAATCTGTCCGGATCGCTCCAAAATATGAAGTTTACCGTCAATGTCTGTCTAATTGTTTGTTGTTAGTCCGTTTGCGCCACTCCTTTCCCTGCCAAGCGGCTCCTTTTTGCGCACATCTCGTTACTCGTGCGGCCTTCCTCTCTCTCTCAGCTACATAATGATACTTTTTATCAATTGAATATGTGAGACTTCCACCAACAGCAAAAGGATCTCATGTTTTTGTGGGTTTTTTATGTTCACAAGCACATTCCCTCTCACGGATTACTAAACTGCTGTTTTGACAAGTCATCAGATTGTCTAAAAATAGGTCATTTTTTTAGTTTAGTATAATGGACTCGACACACGGGAGGCAACATCGCCTCTCCTCCATTCAGTTTCAATGAGACATGTGCGCTGCCGCGGATCGCCTCCCGTGTGTCAGGTAATAAAAGCAACAGTGACAAATTTCGCTGATCGCGGTCGTTTGTCGCCTCCCGTGTGTTGAGCCCACAACTCCGCTTTTACGTTGCCTATTAACAAAATTTAAAAACTGGAGTGTAGTTTATAATCTCCTTTTTAAAGCTGAATTGAAACCGAAACTCAGGGAGGCGGAGTCTTGCTGCTACAGCGTCCCAAATCATACCTGTTCAAAAGACGTGGATACGCGTCCATGGACCCCAGAGGGTTAATTGTTAAAATAGCAGCAGCTTGTCACCTTAGTGAAAACCAAACATACACAGCAAATATAAAGAGCGTTACTTTTCCAGAGGTTGAGGACTTAGTTATTTTTACACCGCAGAGTTTGACTTTAATACACTTCCTGTGTTGATACAGTGACTCCTATGTAACGTCACGAAATTGCCTGATTTTAAAGATCCCACATGCCATATGTACAGCCAGATCAAATAACCCTGGCTACGACATGTTCTGCTGTATCTTCCCTTGACAGGAGTCTGGAGTTTGCTCATAGTCTCTTTAATCAGATGACTTCATCAGCTGCACTGCAGCTCCAACAGATAATAAGGATGAACAGTAGCATTCTTTTCCCCAAGGTTCTTCACAAGAGAACTCTGTTAGATAACCTTTTTATTCTCCAAAAGAAAATATGATTTTATAATTCAAAATAATCATTGAAGGGTAATTATAAGCAATGAAATGTTCAAGAATCTGTATTCAATGATGGTGGTTTACTAGATGAGGTCATCACCATGTGCTCACACCAGACAGAGAGTAAGGTTGAGATGAAAATGCATGACACATAGTTAACCTTTTACCTAGACTCAGAGGCTCTGTATCAAGTAGACGTGTTTTGAGATGTTTGGTAACCTTCTAAAAGTGATAACATCAGTTCACAAAAACCAGCCTGCTCTGCTTCCTCCTCAGTTTGAACATCCAACAGTTCGACAGTTGGAGAGCAAGCGTGAGACTGGCCATCTTCGCAGACCTCTTTAACCAAAAGGATTTTGACACTTTGTCAAAACCTTAAACTTTTTTCGCACCTGCGAAGCTGAACAAGAAGATTTTTTCCTGCAGAATAAAGCTGACTCAAAACTCCTTCAGTTATTTTAAGACACGTGGTTCCATCCATCTGTTGTGAACCGAGAAACATCTCTAGTACTGTAAGGACGGCACCTCGGTTCTCTACAGCCCTCCGGTGCCAGCAGTCATCCGACCCCTGTGACTTTCGGATCCATCAAGAGGGTGCCTCTACCGTAATGTAGACACACAGATAGCGTAGGGGTTGTTTGAACTAGTCGACTAGTCGACTTCACTGCTCTGTAGTGACCTTTTATGCCTGTCATTGACTAGTCACTGTCACGTGATAATGAGAGACAAGATGCAATCCTCGGAAAAGGCAGCAGCCTGCTGTCAGCAGGTGACGAGGCCCTGTGCGTCGGGAGGCAACGCGCTGTGCCAGAGCGTCGGTACTGACACAGCCGTAAAACGGACATTTAACCAAATTGTGACGTTTACCCTCTTACAATTTAACCTTCCCCTCACCCCATCCTAACCTTAACCAGCTTGCGCATGCAAAGCTCTGATCGTTGACGCGCTCCAAACATCTGCGTCATGAGCACGGCCACAGTAACACTATCAAATTAAATGTCGCCACCTCAAAAATAAATTTAACACGTGATCATTCATGTCGGCTCATTTACTTTTATGTTTTCTGTCTTTTATTTGTGCCTGATGTGTTTTGCCGCTGTGGAGCGGGGCGTATCACCTGTTTTGTCCTCCGGTGACGCACCTCACTGATGCGGCCGGCTAGCACTCCGCTGTTTTTGCGGTCGGTAGATCTTTTAGAACTGCAGTTCAAAGGTAACTCATGAGGTGAATATATATGAACCCAGGTAACAGTTTCTCTTTAGGATTGAGAGGAGATGCAGGAAGATAATAAACAGACAGGACAGAAAAATAGTCAAATAAAAACAAGTTAGTTTTTGTACCTGCTGGTTGCAACAAACAGACACCATTGAAGGTAATCAGAAGTGAGGAACAGAAAATGAAATAATTATTTTAATGTTTAGAGCAGCAGGAACTCTGAGAGGCTGCAGGCACACTGCACAGGCGGAGAGAGCTGAAGAGGAGCAGTGTTGATGCAGAAACTACCTCTGTTAAAAGAGATATGTTTAACTTTGAAAATGTGGGCGCAGTTTTAATTGTCAAACACTCCAGCGAACACCCCCCCCGGGCGCCGCTTCAGGTGTATGACGTCATCAACGACTAGTCAAAGTCGACTCGATTTTCATTCCTTGACTGTCGACTTTCAAAAAAATTTAAGTCATGCAGCCCCTAAGATAGCGTCTGTATGCAGTTTGATAATAACAGCTTATAGCTTCGTTGCAACCAAATTATTTTATCCAGAACTCACCTCTCTTGATACGGAGATTCTGATTCATCATCTTATATTCACACAATAGGTTCCAGACACCATCTTAGTTTGCATCCACTCACAGTAAATAATAGGTTAAATAATCTGTCAAGTCTTAATTGTTTGTAAATAAATTCTTATCTTGTTTGCAAAATCTGACTGGTTCTTAAAGCGAAGGGTGTACGATCTCGTAATGATTAAAAGAACCCTAGAATCTTCTAATTAATCATCCCAAGACCAAGAAAGGTGATACTCTATAATTAATAGAGTAGTACAGCTATTGGTCACAAGTAGTGAAAATAGAGAATAAACAGCTCTTAAGCAATTTATTTAACGCACATTACTCTATTATTTCACAACACCTACTGGTGTCAGTTATTTAATAGTTAAATAATGTTTGACATTTTATATTTAAAAGCATCTATTAGGTGCATTTTGACAAAAAGAAAGTGTGTGTGTGTGTGTGTGTGTGTGTGTGCGCGCGCGCTTCAAGCAGCCCAAAATCTCTGAATGTGTGACCTTTGTTACATGTGATCCACTTCCTGCTGTAATCTGGGCTTTTATAGAGCTGAGTATCTAGAGTAGATTACACACCTGTGTATCTAGAGTAGATTACACACCTGTGTATCTAGAGTAGATTACACACCTGAGTATCTAGAGTAGATTACACACCTGAGTATCTAGAGTAGATTACACACCTGAGTATCTAGAGTAGATTACACACCTGAGTATCTAGAGTAGATTACACACCTGAGTATCTAGAGTAGATTACACACCTGAGTATCTAGAGTAGATTACACACCTGAGTATCTAGAGTAGATTACACACCTGAGTAACTGGAGTAGATTACACACTTGAGTATCTAGAGTAGATTACACACCTGAGTATCTAGAGTAGATTACACACGTGAGTATCTAGAGTAGATTACACACCTGAGTAACTGGAGTAGATTACACACCAGAGTAACTGGAGTAGATTACACACCAGAGTAACTGGAGTAGATTACACACCTGAGTATCTAGAGTAGATTACACACCTGAGTATCTAGAGTAGATTACACACCTGAGTAACTGGAGTAGATTACACACTTGAGTATCTAGAGTAGATTACACACCTGAGTATCTAGAGTAGATTACACACCTGAGTATCTAGAGTAGATTACACACCTGAGTATCTAGAGTAGATTACACACCTGAGTATCTAGAGTAGATTACACACGTGAGTATCTAGAGTAGATTACACACCTGAGTATCTAGAGTAGATTACACACCTGAGTATCTAGAGTAGATTACACACCTGAGTATCTAGAGTAGATTACACACCTGAGTATCTAGAGTAGATTACACACGTGAGTATCTAGAGTAGATTACACACGTGAGTATCTAGAGTAGATTACACACCTGAGTAACTGGAGTAGATTACACACCAGAGTAACTGGAGTAGATTACACACCTGAGGATAAGAAAGGCTTAATGTGAGCTAATAGTTCATATTTAGTGACTAAACTACATCTAGCTGACATCACTCAGAGACAAAGAATACTTCTGACTCTTAAAGTCATTTATTAAAAACATGCCTGCTACAAACTCAAGTATTTCACTGTTTAAAATAACTTGCATGATATGCTTTGTGCACGTGTAGTCACAAGTTCACTTCTTTTTATCTGCTAACGTGTTCACTGCAGACTAGAGACCCTCCATGAGCTTCTGCTGGTGGCTGGCTCCTCCTGAGCTGGATGTTCTTTAGACTCCCTCTCTGTCAGCTCACAGAAGAACTGCATCATGGTCTCAAACCGTCCATCTCTGCCTCCTGTTCAGCCTCTGACCCGAGCATCTCCTGCTCAGTAGCCAGACATGCGTTGCCCCTTTTTCTCCTTCCTAGAAAGAAAAAAAAATACGGAGGGTGGAGATAGAATTAACACACAAGAGCCATATAATACACTATATTCTAATTCTGTGGAATGAGATGTGTGTACCAGGTCTGGGGTGGCAGGGCTGCTGGAAGGTAGTAGGTAGTAGGTTGTAGGTACAGTGTAGATACTGAAGGATTAAATATTTTAGAATTAAACCATTTGATGACCAAGAGATTACACATTTACATATATAATAAGACAGTTCTGTACCTGGTGTAGGGGGCAGAGGCTGGAAGAAGCTGATGCCTCTGCAGACGCTGGCTCTGGTGTAGAAGCTGGATGGATAAACATTTCAGAATAAAACAAGTTATAAAAACACCTTTATCAGTCACACAGTGTCCTAAACTAACTTACTGACTCAGTGATAAATTATAAACCACTAACAAGCCAACCATGATAACATACTATAGATGATAGCAACTCTGTACTTCTTATATCAGAACATTAATGCACACAACATATTTAATGTAAGACATTTAATTGCACGTGAGTTTGCGTTGTTTGTGTTCGTGCACGTGGTTCACGCGTGCACAAACACAAGAACAAAACAGAAATTCACCAAACAGGAAGCTAAATGGTTACATATTCATTTGGTACAAACACACAATCGCTATCGGCGACTTTCGCTCCTGGATTTCATTCCAAAATGGACAATTTCCTTCCGTTCTATCAAGAGAAGAGAGGAAACATGTGTAAATGCATTAAGACCATTTTCTTTACCTGTTGGGTTTGGACGAGGTGAGCTGGCGGTAGCAGGAGTGTCCGGGATGATGTCCAGTCTGTTTCTAGATAAACAAACACGATTCGGAACAGAAAAGATGCGGAAATCAAGCAAGGGGCGGAGCTCTTCGAGCACTGACCGTCACGTTAGTTCCACAGGAACCACAGGAAGTCCCAGCCTCAGAGTAGGAGCTGAAATGGTTCTAGGAACCATGGGAAAAGGTTCCTAGTTCCTATCTATCCGAACGTGCGCAAAAGGTGGCTGGTTCCTGGAAAGGTTCTAGGAACTAAAAAAGGTTCCTATAGTCGGAAAGCGCCTATTGTTCATTCAGAGAAGCTGAAAAGGGACTTAACTGAAAGATTATACTTTTTTTTTTAATGATTTGCACTTTTAATATTGCACTTTGAGTTTTCTACCTCAGCCTGCTTCCTAAGATCGTTTAATAATTTCCCATCAAAATAATGTTTTCCTCCTGTTGTTGAGAATATACTGTAGGATAAAAACTGCAGCTGGGTATGAGTGTGGGCTGAGGGAAAATTTCATCAAAAGTTTATATATATATATATATATTTATATATATACATATATATATATATATACATATATATATATATATATATACATATATATATATATATATGTATATATATATATATATATGTATATATATATATATATATACATATATATATATATATACATATATATATATATATATATATACATATATATATATATATATGTATATATATATATATATATATATATACACACACACACACCGTAAATCCTCTGATATTAGCCTGAATTCAATTAACTGCCGGGTATCATATTTTGGCCGGTGTCGGAGTCGGCAGAGATGAATAATGGCCGATTTTTTATTGTGGCCGGGTGGAATGTGGTAGCAAGGAAGTACGGGGGGCGGTTGTGTCATCCGTCTCACTTTTGATTTGCCAGTGATAGACCGCGAGGGTAACTTTAACCGTGCGGAGACGAAGAGGAGGCGAAATTTTGATATCAAGTTCAAAGAGAACGTGCTGATTATGCTGACAATGCATCGGGGGAGGCAACGCGCTGTGCCAGAGCGTCGGTACTGACACCCGCCGTAAAACGGACATTTAACCAAATTGTGACGTTTACCCTCTTGCAATTTAACCTTCCCCTCACCCCCATCCTAACCTTAACCAGCTTGCGTATGCAAAGCTCTGATTGTTGACGCGCTCCAGAAATCTGCGTCCTGAGCACGGCCACAGTAACATTATCAAATCAGGTGTCGCCACCTCAAAAACTAATTTAACACGCGATCGTTCATGTCGGCTCATTTCCATTCATGTTTTCTGTCTTTTATTTGCGCCTGATGCATTTCGCTGCTGTAGAGCAGGGCGCATCACCTGTTTTGTCCTCCAATAACTTTGTACCTGGTGGTTGCAACAAACAGACACCATTGAAGGTAATCAGAAGTGAGTAACAGAAAATGAAATAATTATTTTAATGTTTAGAGCAGCAGGAACTCCGAGAGGCTGCAGGCGCATCAGTGAGTTTGCGGCCGCTGCGCAGGGGGAGGGGGGAGAGGGCTGAAGAAGAAACTACCGTTGTTAAAAGAAATGTGTTTAACTTTGAAAATGTGGGCGCAATTTTAATTGTCAAAAACTCCAGCGAACCATTAGTTCATTTTGCTCAAATAGAAATTGAGGCCTGCCTCTAATTCTGGTCCTCCTTCCAATAAAGGCCTGGAGCTTGATGAGCTTGAGTCAAATACAGGCCCGGGCCTGTATTAGAGGATTTACGATATATATATATATATATATATATATATATATATATATATATATATATATATATATATATATATATATATATATATATATATATATATATATATATATATATATATATATATATATACATATATTAGGGCTGCACAATAAATCGAAAAATTATCGTCATCGCGATAACAGGACGTGCGATAGGCCCATCGCAAAGCACGTCAATAACAGCGATAAATGTTCCATCCGTGTCATACATCACCTTTTTGTAAACCAGCTCTGTTTTTTACGCGGAAGTATTATTTGACCAATCAAATGTAGCCCTTCTGATATGCGGCCAATCAGATGGGTCCATTCACGTAATACGCCCGCCCCCTACGTAGACCCTTACCCCAAAATTCCACTATCTCCGCTCCGCCCCCGCTTTCCGCTGCCGCTCGCTTCCCTTGTTCGTCATGCTGGCTCAGATTAACGAACGCACTTTGTGCTGATGTTTCTGGAGTCAGCGCTGCTTTCAAACGTGAACGTGAGTCCGCTCGGTGTCGTTAAGCAGCTGATAATAACCGGGCTGACTCCGACTCCGGTGAACCAACCCACCGTTAGCCCCAGGCTCCGGTTAGCTTCCAGCTAAAAGGCTACAGCACTCTCCTCCCAGTCCCACCCTGCTAAAGAGGGCCTGGAAAAGTTCCCCCACACATCAAAGTGATTTTTCATTTATGAGCTTTTATAACCTTGTTAATCAGGATAGTTGATTTGCTGCTGCACATAAACTGTCAGTCAGAAGCTCTGCTAGCCGGTTAGCAAGAGGAGCTAGTTCAATTTGTTAGCTTGTTATCAGAATCATAGTTGCAGTTTCATCATCTGAGCTGCTTTCTAAGATCTAGGTAAACTTGTTCAAATTGGGGTTAAAAACAAACGTTTTCACATATTTTCCATGTAGTTTTTTTGCCAGTTCCTCTTCTGAAAGGTAGACAATTGTTTTGCTCTTTCCCTCAGAAAATCTTAATATTCTCCTAGTTTGGCCCAGCACAGTTCACTTCCCAATTACAGCAATAGCCTTATATCATAACCACATAAGTGGAGAAAATGTTCAGTAGCAATGAGAGAATTTGCTGTTGCATTTAAGTGATGTTAACTATTATTTAACATTTAAACTTATTGTCATATATTTTTATTTATTCAAAAACCCTGGTAAGGGATGTTTTTCTGTATTTGGAGCATCAGAAAAAGTTTTATGGTGGAGGTGATGTTTTAAAGTCACTGAGAAACTGCATGCATGCAGTTTGTTGTTTTGCTGCTAATACAGTAGCGGGTGCTGCTGCTAATAGAGTAGCGGGTGCAGCTGCTAATAGAGTAGCGGGTGCAGCTGCTAATACGGTAGCGGGTGCAGCTGCTAATGCGGTAGCGGGTGCAGCTGCTAATACGGTAGCGGGTGCAGCTGCTAATACGGTAGCGGGTGCAGCTGCTAATACGGTAGCGGGTGCAGCTGCTAATACGGTAGCGGGTGCAGCTGCTAATACGGTAGCGGGTGCAGCTGCTAATACGGTAGCGGGTGCAGCTGCTAATGCGGTAGCGGGTGCAGCTGCTAATACGGTAGCGGGTGCAGCTGCTAATACGGTAGCGGGTGCAGCTGCTAATACGGTAGCGGGTGCAGCTGCTAATACGGTAGCGGGTGCAGCTGCTAATGCGGTAGCGGGTGCAGCTGCTAATGCGGTAGCGGGTGCAGCTGCTAATACGGTAGCGGGTGCAGCTGCTAATGCGGTAGCGGGTGCAGCTGCTAATGCAGTAGCGGGTGCAGCTGCTAATGCAGTAGCGGGTGCAGCTGCTAATGCAGTAGCGGGTGCAGCTGCTAATGCAGTAGCGGGTGCAGCTGCTAATACAGTAGCAGGTGCAGCTGCTAATACAGTAGCAGGTGCAGCTGCATATTTTTACAATAAAATTTTTATGTTATAATGGAATTCATGCATTAGTTTTTGTTTGCTTTGAACCCAGAGCAGACGTCACACGCCAGACGACATCATCACTGCATACTTTAGTATTTGTTCATTTATCGTGAGTAATATCGATATCGCAATATTAAGCACTGTTATCGAATATCACAGGTTTTCCTAATATCGTGCAGCCCTAATATATATATATATATATATATATATATATATATATATATATATATATATATAAAGAACTATGAACCAGTTCGTTTTTGGAAAAGTGAATTTAGTTAAAAAAAATTAATTATGAACTAGTTCATTTAAAAATGTATGAACTGAACTTTGAACTAGTTCGATTTTTAAATGAACTTTCCCAACACTGGTATTACGTAGGTTGGATACTAATTCTACTTCACCAATTGTGATTTCACCACAATAATAATCATTCAAAGCATCCATAGACCAACATATAATTGTATTGGGTGGAGTGTCCTTATTTAATGACAATTAGTAAAATAACTCAAATGTATTTGCTGAGAGCCACTCAAACATCCCACTGGCCAGAGGACAGGCCGGCATGCAGACGGTGAGCAGGAGGTGTGGGAGCTGGTAGCTCATGACTGGACCAGTACCAAAGAGAGAGGAGTAAATACTGACATGTCACTGGCTGTAGAAGGCATTGCTGTTGATAGAATGAGGGACATTAAGGTTTTGGGGTCATAAACATATTAATGGTATAGTATATAGTTGCTATAGTAACCAGAGTAAATGAGTCTTTGAATTACAACTCTTTTTGTCATAAAAGAATGTGATTGTTCCATATATGACTTATTGCATTGAAATCTGGGGAATTACATATAAACATACACTAATCCATTTATGATTTTACACAAAATGAACAAAATCATTAGTCTAAAGTCACAGAGATACAGCCAGTGTGTTATTGGCTGAGTTACAAACATTAACATTGGGCCATCTG